CATGCACACACAGCAAATTAAGATTTAACCCTTGCTGTTCTCTCCTGTGTGATTAGAAACAAGCTAGCAGGCCTGAGCATCGAGGAACTGTGTGTGTGTATTTCAATGCAATTGTTCCTCTGATTAGCTACTAGTGAATGTAGAGGCCATTCATTATGTAATTTTGCATGTAATTTAATGCACGTGTGAGTTAATATCATATTTTGATGAAGAACTACTGCTGTCAGCTTGAAAAAGGCCAAGCATCAGTGGAGACAGTCCAAGGGATCAAAGCTTTGGCATTGATTGTGGATTCCTGGCATCCACTGGTTCCATCTTCTTAAGATAACAAAAGGCAGTTTTGTTTTGTAAGGGCAAGAAAGAGCGGCTGGCCAGAGAAGCAGCCATGGCTCACATCTTCAGCTCAGTGCTGGAAGATCCCTCTTGACGTTTCAAATTATATCTCAAACCTCCCTTAGTTCAGGCTAATCAAAGTATTGTATTTCTTGCACTAAAATATTTTCAACAACAAAAAAAAGGATTTAGGATTAGGAAAAGGTTTAGGATATTTAAAGTAATTACTTTATGATTACTTATATGATGAACACATTTACATTTAGGCTTTTATTTACATCTATGATTGATGCATGCATAGATCACATCAAATATGAAGAACCTCATAGGTTTCATTAAAAATATCTCGAGTTTTGAATATTAACCAAAGTCTTATGGATTTGGAACAATAATCAGAATTTAAATTTTTGTGCGAACTGTTACTTTAATTCCATGTTAATTGCAATTAAATTAAATAAAAATTGTAATTAAATAAAAAAACATTATAGTTTAAAAAATAAGTGTACTTCTTAAAAGCATGACAAACGAGTATTTAAACAATGTTTTAAAGTAAAGCCTTTAATTTGACATTATTACAATTGTACTTTTTTTTTTTAAAGTGGACTTAAGAAACACAGCCATGAAAGTCTACTCTCTTTAAATACACTTGAGTGGTCTTTTAATATTATATTCTTTGCAAAAAATATGCTTTTGTACACTACAAGTGCACATTCAAAACAACTAAACACTTCTTTTTTTCACATAGGAGCCCATAGAAACATGGATAAACAGTCATTTTGCATTGGATGATTTTTTTCTCTCTTCACTAAAAGAAGGGGGAAGAGAACGTCACACGATTCTACGTAAAGGTTACGTCAGTATTTTATGGAAACGTCTTTTATCCTGGGGTCTCCAGCTGTAGGCTACCTCACTATTTCTGTTTAAACATTCAATATATCATCTATTTCCTTTTACTTCCTTCTCCATTGCAACAGTAAATTTGGATGTCAACAACACGTGCCATTTACTTCAAACTCAGCCTGGGCAAATGATGATGGCTGCATAATGTCATAATCTGAGGCTATTTCTGTGTTGATGATCAGGGAGTGGCTATGATCTCACCAGTTCCAGTTCTCTGTACCTTGCTCTGATGTCTCTAAAGTTTCTCACACATTAGGCACAACCCTTATTTTGGTGTGCATTATAAGTTTTCACCATAGCAACTTAAATCTGAAGTAACCCTGGAAAATCCCCAATTATACCCACTAATTAATGCAGAGGGTGAGGTCCATGCAGTGTTTTTGCCATTTTTCACTTTCCAAATAAAAAGTATTTGAAGTTCCCTGTGATGGAATATTGCAGAAAAGCCTATTTGCACATAATAAAGACTTTGTGACAACAAGCTTAAACATGACTGTTCTGCAAAATGATTATTCAAAATCATGCATAAGTATTGATTTTTGATTTTTCAATGATTATCTGACCTGAGAGCATGCTACAAAATGATTAAAGAGATTAAAATAGTAAAAGTTAATATGTACTCTACCTCATGTTGTTCTAAACCTGTGTGTAATTCTCTTTTTCATGCACAAACAAAAATATTTCGAAGAAATTTGTGGTCCAAACAACACTTGACTTGCGTTGTTGTTCATTGTTAGTTTTTTTGAGACATTTTTCTTTTGTGTTCCACAATAGAATGAAAGTCATTCAAGTTTTTAACATTTTCATTTATTTATTATTTTCTTGAGTGTGAGAAAAAGTTGACAGAATGTATTTTTTGGATGAACTTTAAAACTAAAATTCAATGGAAGCCTGTGGATTTCCCCCCCTCAAAATTAGTTTATATTAAACAAACCAGGTTTTGTTTTTAGCAATTCAGAATTGCGAGATTTTAAAATCAGAATTCTGAGATTATAGTTTTTTTCTCTTTTTTACAATGCATGTCCCTCACTTCTCACAGTTGAGAACTGTGGGACATAAACTGTCTGAAAAAAAAGTCTGAATTGTGAGATAAAAAGTAGAAATTACCTATTTTTTATTTTTTTTTGGTGGAAACGAGCTTCTGTAAATTTCAGCCATATATATTGTTTACGTCTATGAATTATACACATGTGTACATACATGAATTTACATTTTTAAAATGAATGTTAATTTACAAGAAATAAAAATAGACTTCAAATGTACTAGACTAGAAATATTTTTGGGCCTTCCCGCATCAGTGGCCTCATTGGGAGCTTCATGTGATCTCTAGAATTAGCATTTGTGCTTTGGATAATTTTAAACGTTTGGTTTTTTAATGTTGTGGAGATTTCTTTTGCGATTTTTTACAATCCAGCAGCTCATTATGCGAGACCTCCGCAACAGAAGGTCCTGTTCCTTTTCTAAGCTTGAACTCTCAAATGACCTTGTAAAAGCAATGTCTCCAATGACGTGGATTTAAAACAGCTCTCTGAAACAGGCAAGAGAAGCCAAAGAAAGAAACGTGGCCTCTTGATTCACAGAGCTTTTTTCCTCCTGCTTAACTATTGCTGGCCGTCTTCACGCTTGGCTTTTGATTTGTATGGTGGTCCAAACAAAGACTTAATGGGTAACAATAGGTTAAAAGCTTACAATGAGGTTGCGTCATCCACTAACATTCACCAAATGTGTGCATGTAGACGTAGGGAGTTCATTTTAAAATCACTAATACATTTTTAATTCAAGGATTTATGAGACTGAATGCAAAACAGAGACTCTGTTTGACTAGTTTGACAAAAACACATTTTTTATTCTTTCATTTATTTGCCACAGGGTAATGTCTTTGATTTTAAAACGTGTCCAAACTTCAGCAAGCATTAACTTCAGAAACGCAGATCATATAGATTTTCATGGGTGTTCTCAAGGTCCAGGAACAGGCAAGGTCAATCCTGTGGAACAATAGATCCAAAGCAGCTGAGAGTTTTAATATAGTGGAGTTGGACAAACTGTGTGCGGTGTTTAGATAGGAGAGTGACCATTTTTATTGGAACTCAGTCAAACAAAGATGAACCTCTTGAAGTTTAGTTCAGCGCATGAATGTTTTCCAGATTAATAAAGCTATAAATAAATGCATGAAGAGTTTTCTGGAATAGTTAAGTACTAAATAAATGCGTTAAAGCTGTCATCATGCATGCTTTTTAAAAGGACTGCTGAAAAACTACATATTTTTATTCTCTTTAGGTGTTGAACGTAATCCTCAAATACGTGAGACCTGAAATGCAAAGCTGTTCATTTCATAGCCAAAGACTCTTTTTACTGCAGCTGTGTGTGTGTGTGTGTGTGTGTGTGTGTGTGTGTGTGTGTCTGCATCGTGATGTTAGAATAATATTTATTAGTACTTCATATGACCACATGGAAACCCATTTGCTCCCTTGCATCCAATATCTTCAGTTGTGAAAATTCTTTTGTCGTCAGTGGAAATTCACTTTGTTTTCACTAATGATGCCACATTCTTATTATTTACAGAATAACTGAGGCTGAAATAATCACTGTTAAAAATAATTGTAGATTTTTTTGGCTTAACTAAGTGTGCCTTTAGTTGTTGTTTTAATTATTTTTTGATTTATAATGTCAATGATATATACAGAATTTAAAGTATAATGTAAAGAAAGTGATTTCATTGTATGTGTATTTTTTATTTTTTATTATATAAATTAATTAATTATATATGAATTTGTTATGTAAATTATATGTATGCAAAATACAGTGTGAAGAATATTATTTCAGTATAGTATGTGTGTGTATATATATATATATATATATATATATATATATAATTGTCATAAAACTAAATGTAAATGTCATAAAACTAAAACCATAAAATATCTTTGGTACTTAAAATGAAGTAAAATGTTAACTGAAATAAAGTAAAACATATATCTCAGTGATACTAAAATAGCATTGATATGTACAGTATTTAAAGGATATTATGCAGTATATTATTTAGTTATTAAATATATATATAGAAGTATATGATTTCATTTAACCTTGGCTGGAGAAGGTAGTACTTTTGATTTTTCAATACTGTGATTTCTATGCCAAGTTAGTACTTGCTGCGTCTAATGTTATAATCCTAGCAGGGGGAAATTTCATTTGTTATGAAAATCACTGAGTTGGAAATATTTGAGTTGGAAACAGCTGACCACCACTGGTTTTAATTGACAGGGGATGTGCAGGGCTCACACATGCTTATGAATGCAGATATGGTTTCCATACACGTTTAGGTTACACCTGAAAAACTGCCCATTCTATGCACTGCATTTTTTAAAATATGAATTTATATATATATTTTCTTTAGTCTTGCTTTAAAAAAAACGCATTATAGCAAAGTTTATACCAGTATAGGCTATAACCTGTGGCTCGGCCTGACATGTGAAACATTGGAGATGGTTGAGCGCCGTCACACAATTGGAGAGGATTATCAGGCCTGAGATCGTGAGTTTTTTTCCCGGGAAAGACTGAACAGTCGTCTCAGCAGAATTCCAGTGTCACTGAACGCTATGGGATTGTCCTTGACACTTCATCCGGCCTTTAGTGAGGAGATTAGCTGCCGTGACCAAATGACTTTTCAGCACAGTTTAAAGCTTATCATTAACATATACATGATTCATACGCATTGTGAGGAGATCTCTCAGAGCAGTTCATGTCATTTCTGTATTTATTTCTGCACAGTTGATGGATGTATACATAGTATACAACGGATTCCAATAGAAAAACATAAGCGCCTTTTGCTGTATTAATATCAAAAGATGAGAAAACATAATGATACAAGAATGAATGAGATGCTCTCAACAATAACGTTTGGTTTACACAAGTTACAATGTATCTTCATAGATCCAGCAGAGAATACATCTAATACACTTACAATTAAACATACTGTTGATTTTTCATCTAAGAAACATGGTGACTTTACAGCTAAAATCATAGTGGCCGTAGCAGCTGCATGAGTTTAATATTTCTTATGTTTTCCTCTGTATCCTGTGCAGATTTTTGATATTGAAATCATATTTTATAAGAAGTTGCTTTTGCACAACATTTGCAGTACCGAGGCTTTATCAACATCAGTGTCTTTTAGCAGAGATCGGATACAATAAAAAAATAAAAATACTCAAAGACTTTCTAACTGGTATACTTATATAGATAGCTGAACTGATGAAGATTTGTGCCATAAAGTATATTAACTGATTTATTTATAGTATTTAACTATTTTATCCCTTTGCGTACAGTACCATTATACTAAACATTAACATGATTTTATAAATGTAAGTATGTGTTCACAATCTGCCCAAAATGAGAGGGTAAATTACTGATTACTTTCACTAAACCCAAACTAAAAGCCTACTTTTGGCATCATTATTTTGTCTTCTCTAAAATGTAATATTCTCTTATATGTAACCCCTAAATTCTGCTCGTTGAACCTTCAATGATTAGGAATGCTTTCATCTACTGACTATCTTAGCCTAATATAATGTACGAATACAATTGATCAATAGTGCATGGACCAAGTCACCCTATTTTTGCATACAATATGCTTCACATTTAGATCAAATTATTCACATGTATTTAAAGTCTGAATACAAATTTCAAACACTCTCTGATTTTGTCACTTTTTCTACAACCATATGTAGAGGTGATACTGTAAAAGTCTGCTTTTGCAAAAGTTTTAATGCCAAAACATAACATTTTACAGATTTACATGGTCTGTGTTATTTGGTTGCTTTAAAACATCCTGTCTTTTTCGAGGTAGGCAATAGCTGTACCTTAACATGTAACATTGCAATGGTAAAAGACATCCTTTGTGAGAATATTCTCATTACAAATGAGGCAACAGAGGATGCACACATAAAACGATCACTTTGGCGTTCACTAGCAGGGCCAAACAATGCAAAAGTCCAGTTCCTGTGGCTTTCTTTTGCTTGAGCAGTTGTCTCTTGGTAAAAGCAGCCCAGTTTGAGAGATGCATCGTAGTGGGCGTCTCTTAAAGCCTTTCCCACAGGTTTTAGAGCATGAGGACCATTCGCCAATGCTCCAAGTTGGGCAAGGGTCACCACACACCCTTATGGCATTGGGCTTTTGTGTGCCATCACAATGTGTAGCTGTTTCCCCATCCGAATCCAAACACTGTATCAGTCTACTTTGAACCCCGTTCCCACAGGTAACCGAGCACTTTTTCCAATCCGCCACCACCCACTTATAAGAAGGCATCTGATAGGCCGGCTTCTTCAGCTCCACTTTATTGCTGTCCTCCAGCACACTGTTCTGCGTAGGGTTCCTCTCCTCCTTCTTTAGGACCTTGCCCTCTTTATTTCCCACATTCAGGTAGTAGGAGTAGCGCACTCGAGGAGGTGTCATTTTACCCACCGACAACAGTTCCACCGTGAGAGACTCTTTGAGAGGTCTGGAGGCCTGCAGCGTCTCCACCGATGTGCCCGTTCCACTGTAGCGCAGCAGACTTCCCTTTACAATAATGTCTTTTTCTACAGCTGAAACCACAAAGTTTCCGTTCAGGAGATATTTGCCGTGGATGTTCTTTACTGCTAAATAGTTGTCATCGTTAACCAAACCGCGGTAACCGCGCTGCCTTAGGTCCACGTTTGCAGCTCCGACCGGTAGAGTCACCACAAAGTTATATCCATTCCTGAAAAATTAGATCACAGAGTTGGACAATATTCAGAATTAAAGATTTGGCTTCTTTTTGATTCATGATTTGGAATTTGAATTGAATTAGGGACACCACTCAGGAATTTCTGTTAGATGCTGTACTGGAATGTTAACGTGGAATTTACAATTAAAAAAAATTCAACAGATATTAGCATGATGGCAAATGAAGTGTTGTTCCAAAAATGATTGTATTTTTAAATTAAAATACTAAAATAAAATAAATTGTTAAAGAATTAAAATTAAGTACATTTTTCTTTTTTGATTAATTTATTTTTCTGCTTTAGTCAATTACACTTGTAGCAGTTTTATGAGCTTCTTTGAATTTCAGTTCATGTTAAGGTTATTTTATTTTAGTTTAAGGTGATGTTATTACAGTGTAATTACACATAAGTACTGAGTAATATTCGTTAACTACATGTACTTTAGAGTTAGGGTTTGGTTTAGTGTTAGTTACTTGTAATTATGCATAATTTACTGTAATTACTATAGTACTGTACGTACATGCGACATGTAACTATGTCACCTTAAAATTAAAACTCACATTAACACCAACTCAAATTCAATTCAAATTCGAATAAAAATCAGGAACAGAAGTGGAATTTAAAAGCATTTGCAGTTCACTTCTGAATGGCAAACAACCCTGAAGACATTGCTGCAGCTGACGCTAGTCCATCAGATCTTTTAAAACCGTTGACTCCGAGATAAAGCACTTACATGGGTTTTGTGAACATTCCAGAGACTTTCTTGCAGTTTTGGCTGTCTCCACCACACACACCACATTTGTCAAACTTCATGTTGGAGCTCAGTTTGCCATCGCAGCCAGCCTTAATGCACTTCCCCTGAACACAGAGTGCTGAGGTATCAGGAGAACAAGGGGTCCCGTCCACCACCTGTCACACAGATACCATTCACATTCACTACACCATCAGCCTCTTTTTAATTACGATAATTTAAAGGTGTTAAGTTAAACAATAGTAAAAACCAGTAAAACCTCTGACCTTGGTTTTGCTAGTGCCATATACTACCAACTGATCTGCAGAAACATTTCTAGCTCTCCTTGTCCAAGTTTCATCAAACTCCTTTTTTCATTGTACAACAACAAACGTACGTTTGTCCTGCTCTAAAACATTCATAGTATTTAAATAGATAAAGAAATAGACATTTACACAAAGGAATAAAGATAAAAATGAAAACTATGAAAAGTATATGATGTAGTATATATATATTCAGCATAATTACTCCAGCCTTCAGTGTTACATTATTTAATATACACAAAGAGCATGATTTGGTCCAATGAGTTGTCATGTGGACACGGCTAGTGCAGAATGTAGCATCGCTCGTCGCTTTGTTGTGATGTTGTTGTTGTGTTCCCCCAACATACAGATCACGTTCCGCGTTCCTCTCGGTAAATCGCATTCCGGGGGGATCCCCCTCAGTAGCAATCGTGATCGCGTTCCCCTCGGTAGAAATCGCGTTTCCCCCTCGGGGGCCCCCCCCTCCATCGTCGGGCCCTTAGAATCGTCCTAACCTCCCCCTCTTACGGCGCCCCTGACTAGTGTACTGCTAGTGACGTACCACTGTCCATCACAGGCAATTGTGAGAAGCAGTCCTGCACTGTGTCTTTCCATACGGCCATATCTGAGAGATAAGCTCTCACCATTACTTTTTAAAAGTATCTCGTTCACTTTGAAAAGTGGATGTTATTCTTTCCATGAGATAAGAACTGCACTCTGGCTCAGAACTGCACTTCTGCTCATGAACCATGAATGTCAAACAACTTAGCAGTATTTAAGCATGTATTTTAATTTATTTACCTTCTGCGCAAGGACATAAAAGTATCCGGTGCCGTTGGCTCGGCAGACAAGCTTGCATCTGTCCTTAACAGAGACTCCAGAGTATTTCGGGACCCAGACCACAGACAGGCTTAGTCTGTTAGTGTTCAGACTGATGCCATTGAACGCCTCACACTGCTCTTCTCGAAAGCTCTTTCCTGTCACAAATGAAAGGTCAGTGTCAGACATGAATATTGACTTATGCATGTTGTTGAACATGAGACTGAAAGGTATTTCCTTTACCTGAGTCTTTACAGGGCTCTAAGTTGCAGGAACGATACTTCACTCTCAGTCCCTGGCAGTATTTGCCCCCGTTTTCAGGGACGGGGTTGTTACAGTCCCTTTTGGCGAGCTGCACACCTCCCCCACAAGTACGGGAACATGGACCGTACGGAACCCACCGACCCCAATGGCCATCTACCTGCAGAAAGAGTCAACATGGCTCAGAAACAATTACATCCCTGCTGAGAAGACAGGCAAATATCCACAAAATGACTAGCATTTAAATGTTCATTGGCAGCAGAAATATCATATCATGAGCATTATATGCCACAAAAAAAAAAATATGCGCACGCTTTATTTGACATCTTGTGGACTGTTCAGCAGAAACACCCGCTGACTACAATGACAGAGCTTGGAATAGCCAGGATTTTCCTGAAATAAACTAAAACTTGTATTCAGCAGGGACAATTGATCAAATTGATTTAAAGTTACAAAAGTGACAGTGAAGGCATATAATATTACAAAAGATATATTTATTTCTCTCTCTCTCTCTCTCTCTCTATATATTTATTATATATATATATTTTTTATAATATTACAAAATACTGTTTTGCTATTCTGATTCTATTAAATTCTATTAGAATCTGGAAAAGATTTATCATGGTTTCCACAAAAAAGGCAATGTTTTCAACATTGATAATAATGAGATATTGTTTCTTCAGCAAATCAGCATATTAGAATGATTTATGAAAGATCATGTGAAACTGAAGACTGGTGTAACGATGCTGAAAATTCAGCTTTGCCATCATAGGAATACGGTAGAGGATTAGGGCCAAGCAATAATAAAAAATAAAACAATCTTGAGATTAAAGTCATTGTAATACGAGATTGAACTTGTTAAATTTTGAGAAAAATGTCAAAATAAAATGTTGAGAATAAACTCATTAAATTTCAAGAATAAAGTTGTTGTGTTTGGAGAAAAAAATTGTTACATTTCGAGGAAAAAAAGATGAAATGAAATGTTGAGAATAAACTTTCGATAAAAAAATAGAAAATAGAAAAAGTCCAAATAAAATGCTGACAACGAACATTATGACTTCAATCATATCGAGGTGATTTTTTATTTTTGCTTGGCCCTAATCCTTTTCCATTTAGGAATAAATTACATTTTAAAATATATAAAAAAAGAAAACAGTTATCATATTTCACATTATTACTGTTTTTATTGTATTTTTGATTAAATAAATGCAGCCTTGGTGACCAAAAAAGACTGTTCAGAAACATCTTGATTTTTGAACAGTAGTGTACATTTTAAAATCCAGAAATCATTGACGTGTGTCAAGTAAAACTATACAAGCACAATTGTCTATAGTCAGATATACTGTAGTTAGCACATCACTCACCTTGTTTTTGGTGGTATTTTGCTTATCAGTACAGATCCCCCGATAACACAGCTTGTTGCTGCCACAGGCCGTACCATCAGCCCAGGGAAAGTGGCGAGTCTGACACACCAGCTGTCCTTTAGCTTTCCCCGTGCACCACAGTTTGGAGCAGGCCTGCATGTAAGGACAGGGCTTGGATCCTGAGCCAAAGGCCAGTTCACACTGACGGCTGAGCGAGTAGCTGACACCTGGAGGGTCAGCTGGAAGAGCCAGTAGCTTTTGGGGCTGATCCAGCAGACAGTCACCTGGAGAAGAAAAGGTACTTAATATATACAGTATTATACATTTAGTATTGGTGTAGCTGAGCAATGTATCTGCTCGACATTGCTGAGCCACACACGTCAGAGCTGATTGCAGCAGAGTAGTCGAACTAACCGTGGCCAGCGTCCAGGAAGTCTGTGATAATGGCAGCGCTGCAGACAGACCAGGGCGTGTTGTGGTCAATCTGGATCAGAGTGGGAGACATCATATGGTTGTCCTTGAGCTTTCCAAATACCTCCTCACAAGCCTTCACATTGTCATGTGGCATACTGAACACATGCCCTGGACAAGAGCCAAAGAAATAGTCAAGCCATGTCAGTCTGTTTTCATTTTATTAGCAGAAAATGAAAGTAGGAGTATCTTTTAAATGTAATCTATCTATCTATCTATCTATCTATCTATCTATCTATCTATCTATCTATCTATCTATCTATCTATCTATCTATCTATCTATCTATCTATCTATCTATCTATCTATCTATCTATCGATCTATCATCTCTCTGTCTGTCTGTCTGTGTCTCTGTCTGTCTATCTATCTATCTGTTTGTCCGTATATTGCATCCATCCATCCATCCGTCTGTTTGTGTGTTCATCCATCCATCCATCCATCCATTCATCTGTCTGTCTGTACGTCCATCCATCTGTCCATTTATCCATCATTCTATCGTTATATGCATCCATCCATCCATCTATCCATCTGTCTATCTATCTGTCCGTCCATCCGTCCGTCCGTCTGTCTGTCCATCCATCCATCTGTCTGTTTGTGTGTTCATCCATCCATCCATCCATCCATCCATCCATCTATCCATTTATCCATCATTCTATCTATCTATCTATCTATCTATCTATCTATCTATCTATCTATCTATCTATCTATCATCTCTCTGTCTGTCTGTCTGTGTCTCTGTCTGTCCGTATATTGCATCCATCCATCCATCCGTCTGTTTGTGTGTTCATCCATCCATCCATCCATCCATTCATCTGTCTGTCTGTACGTCCATCTATCTATCTATCTATCTATCTATCTATCTATCTATCATCTCTCTGTCTGTCTGTCTGTCTGTGTCTCTGTCTGTCTATCTATCTGTCTATCTGTTTGTCCGTATATTGCATCCATCCATCCATCCGTCTGTTTGTGTGTTCATCCATCCATCCATCCATCCATTCATCTGTCTGTCTGTACGTCCATCTATCTATCTATCTATCTATCTATCTATCTATCTATCTATCTATCTATCTATCTATCTATCTATCTATCTATCTATCTATCTATCTGTCTATCTGTCTGTCTGTCTGTTTGCAAGGTGTACAATGGCTAACAGATTCAAATGTACAAAGAGTTTCATAGGTCTGTACACACCATAAAAGGATGGCGCTGATGCACCAGTGAATGTGGTTATTTTAGCATCTGCTAATGTTTTCCCATCTGTCTTTTATTAAACCTTTGTTTTCACAGGGATCAAGAGATGTGGAAAACTCTTGAATGCAGTTGTCATTGTTCTTCTAATTTCATAATAAAGCGTGACAGGACTTTTTTCTTGAAACAGCTGGCACAATATTCCTGTTCAAAGATCAAGGAATCCAAGATAGAATTTCAGAAGTGAGAAGCCTCATCAAAATCCCATCACTCTAAAGGATTCAACTTAATTACACCACAGACAGAGTCTCAGAGTGAATGCTGGGAAGAGAACGCAGACAAGAACCTTCAGTTCACCTGTTTTGCTCTCACCTAGTTCATGTGCGGTGGTGAAGGCTGAGGGGAGACCATCATCTTCAATCACTGAGCAGCTCCTCTTAGGATCACACATGGTGCCTACATCAGCCATACCCAGCGTGTCACACGTGGTGGCCCCACACAGGTCCTGTGAAGAGAATGATTATAGTGTGAAATCAGTGATGAAACACAATGTGACATAACAAGCATCAAGCGTTTCAGGAGCAGTATGAAGATAATAGCCAGGGTAGTAGTAATCATTTAATTCATCTCCATAATCCATGCTTCCTCATTGAGCTTTCCCCAGTGATTAGGTCTGATCCAAAGTGTATGTTTGTGAACCGATTTGTCAGATCAAAATACTTTTATTATTATTATTTATTATTGTGTATTGACATAATGAGAAGCACAGGGCTGTGTAGAGCAGCGAGGGTGGCCAAGAATGTCTGTAAACAGCTGTGGTTACGACATTGTTATGAGGACAGATGGAACCATGTGAGAACATCACGTGCAGCCACCTGGAGACTTCAGGGAGAACATTTGGGAAAGCTGAATAAATTCCAATATCATATTGACATGAATGTTCCAACTTTCTCATGCTGTCACATATGAAGAGTGGGGCAGTTGATGACTATGAGAAGTTACAGAAGTAATCAGTTCAATTTTTAACATACCAAGCAGCAAAACAGAAGTTTGGATTGCTGTAATAGAAAGGCATGAGTTAATTTGGCTGAAATAGCAGGTGCAGTGCAGGTACCTTGGCATAATATTTAGCAGTGTAATGACAGCTGACTTGGATCACTTGTCTTCTTGAGTCAGTATTACACACATGACGTGTGCTTTCAGCTTTCTGGTGATGTAATGGTGCTTTTAAGTTTATATTGGAATCAAATGTTAGAGAATTAAATTTTATTTTAGGGGCACTCCCTAAACTTGACTTATTTCCTGAAATGTTTTACTACGTTCTATCCAGATGGCATGTCATGCTAGTATAGAAAGTGTTTAAATTGTGGCAAAACCGCTGAAAGGTGTGATGTCAGAGATGATTAAAAGGAGAAATCTTTGTGTAAAAATTTTGATTTAATTACCTAAATGACAAATGTCAAGTGGGGCAAACAAAGAAATACGTTACCTTGATTAAATGTGAGTGAAATTCTCAAATTTCTAAATATTTTCAAACATTTTTCAAAGGGGGTATGTAAATTCTGTATTTATATTTATATTTTATATGTTTAAAAAAAAAATAGATATACATATATATACTGTATATATATAAACTGTCTTGCCACAGTCATGAGGGTCTGGGGTCTCTGTTGTTTAATGACTTTTTGACACATGACAACAAAATGGCTTCCTGGTTACACCACACAGACTTTAATTTACCAGACTATTAAAAAAAAACTAATTTTAAAATAATTTCACTTCTGGCTCTCTAAATATGAGCATCAAGCCAGCCGCGCTTCAGAGGTAACCTCCTACTCCATACTAAGACTTGTCATTTGTAGAGGTGTGGACTAATTGGCAAACGACTTTGGAGGGACTTTGGATAATAATAATAATAATGAAATAGTTTTCTTTTTTACAAAATATAATCAAATTATAACAATTTTCATCAAATGTTCTATAAAACCAAATTCATGTTTGTTTAATACAATCAGTGCCAGTTTAAAACAGTTTTATCTGTTATTAATGAGAGGAGGTAAAAGCATCAAACACATAATCCTAATAATTTTGATTTTAGTTCATGAGACAATAGAACGTTCAAAGTTATCTGATCTTTCATAACCTTCTCAAAATGTTAATAAGCCTACAAAACATCATTTATGGAACTTTTTTTTTTCTGCAACATTTTAGTTAGATGTTTGCCGAAGATTTTTAAGAGAATATTTCAAACATTCCCATAATGTTTGCAAAATAATGAAATGGAAAGTTCCCCTTAACATTGTCTTTAACATTCACATAACCAAGAAAAAATTTGACATTTTGAACTTTCGAAAGTATTCATCCCTAAAAAGGGATAGTTCACCTTCAATTGGTCCCCAATGACTTGCATAATGTTTTTTTTTTCAATGGGGGACCAGCAACTGAAGGTGAACAATTCCTTTAAGAGTCACCACTCAAAAATATTCACAAACATCATACAGAGATTATCATAAAGATACATTGTCAATTATTGACAGTGATTGCACTAAACATTTAAACCTATGGGCAAAACATCTATCCTATAGCTGCTTTAACATATGTAATATTGCATTGGTAAATAACGCTTGAATAAATTATCCTACATTTTTTAATAAATAAAGTTGCATCTATTTTTATTGCCATTTGACAGTAAGAAAAATCTAAATTTATGTCATCAATACACCTCCAAACAAATGCAACCTATTGAATAGTGAGATATGTAAATATGATATTCAAAAATACGTACATGAGCATGTACAGTCTTTACCTTTTTTTTAACCATCATGTATTCCCTTGTGTGATGCTTTGTTACCAGAATCCATATAAATCAGGTTCAACATTGATTGATTTCATTATTTGCAAACTAGGCTCTGCAAGTTTGTGTACTGCTGGATGCTATAGCTTAGCAAGTCCTTCATATTTACCCCAACCCCCTCTTATCAGCTGAGCTCCACACATGTGGTCATGGCAGGGCCTTGAAAACTCTTTGGAAGCAACACAAACAGTAGATGACTGACCATGATGACACCTACTGTGAATTGTTGCATGAACTGCCAGATGATTCACATCTGGGAACACTGCAGCTTCTTTGCCCTTGCCCACAGTGAAACACGTCACATTTGATATAGAGATACTATGGACTAGCCTGTCTGGATGTTGGAATAGCTCCATCAGTTTGCTGTTTTTCGAATGCACATCAGGACCTCTCTTTATATTTGTGACCATTGCTGACCTAAATGTCATATTCTGTATAACATTGCTTCTGGGGTTATAGAGAATGGAAGTTCACTTTGTGCTATAAACCAGTGAATATCTTTTTTTTGTGCATTTTTTCTTTTCACTCTCAATCGATAGGCATACAGAGTACAGACTGGTTGTGAACCATACAGATTATTTCGATTAGTTGTTGTCATAATCATAAATGCTCATGAAAAGATTATTTACTATCTTCTTGGTGTAAGTAATTAAGTAATTAAATTTTTCGTATTTTTTAATACAAAAAAAATCATACATACATATATGCACAACAGAGTTTATATATATATATATATATATATATATATAATATATCATTAAATATTTGACGTTTTGCAGGAACATATTTTTTTTAAACTATGTTACTTTAAAACTAAAAATGCACTACTAATAACTACTCAGTTGACAAACTGTTGCTATTTAGGAAGGGCTGTGCTTCTCAGTTTTCATTGGGCAAACCCGATCCAGAGGTTTTTCATGAGCGCACAGTGGGAGGAGAGACTGCAGCAGCGCTGGATATCAAAAATAAACCTCTCATTTCTCAGAAAGTATAAATACCAGCGCCTCAGTCCAGAAACAGTCCGGTGGACTTACGAGCTGGCGAACCTGGCTCCGTTTTAGCTTTAATTCAATTGCACCTATAGGTTGCATTAAATAGCCTATTTTATTCATTTTCAAAATTAAGCTAGTGAAGGCATGTGGATTCTAACTATAAATGTTTATGATATTAATGGTTTTCAGAAAAGTTAGACCAGTTTAAAATTATAAATTTAAATAGCCTAGTAAATAAAAATAAAAAAATCATTTAGACATTCATTATTTCTTTTTTTGGAATAGCGACAATTTAATAAAATGTGGTCGTGTTTAGTCACATCTATATTAATTGTTTGCCTCCTCGCTGAAACATCTGCTCACTCATTTGAGACTGAGGAGATTGTACCTGTACGGCTGACTGGAAGGACCGCAGGACGAGTGGCCAAGAGGAGCGAAGAACAGCCCAACTTCAGTCTCACGGCTTTCGGCAGGAATTTCACACTTAATTTGACACCGGACAGCACCTTTATATCGCCAGCACTGAAGGTTTATCGCATCAAAGCCAAACCACAAGAAAGACTTGAGTCCACTAACAAGCTGACAGAACTTTATAAGTCCTTGAATCAAACTGAAGAGACTGGAGCAGAATTATTAAAAGGTTGCTTTTACATCGGCGCTGTTGACTCCGATGAGGACTCTATTGTCTCTGTCAGTTTATGTCATGGGATTTTAGGATCATTTATCACAGACGGTAAAGAATATCTAATCGAACCAAAACTTCTCGTCTTGGGAACATCTGGAAAGTTAACCGAGCAGCTGCATGTCATTAAAAGAAGACGTTTTACAAAGTCTCCGCAGGTCTCTAAACCGCTGTCAGATATAAGAGATGATGATCAGGATTCGATGTCTAGACGCAGGCGCTTTGTCTCTACTCCCAGGTTTGTTGAGACTTTAGTGGTCGGTGACGCTTCTCTGACACATTTCTATGGAGACGAGATCAAGGTAGGGGCTCACAAGTGTGCGTTTTAAGATGTGTTTCATTTTACCACTTTTTACAGATGAAAAATCTAACTGAAGCTGTTTCAGAACATGATAGCTGGTTTCTGGTCTAAGCTGTGCAAGATGATCCAAGCTGGTGATCTTGACCAGCTGCCATCTTCTAAAAACCACCCTGACCATGTTAAGATTACATGACTGACTGGTAGCTTTCTGGTCTACCAGCTTGCACCAGCTATTAAGTGTCTTTACATATAATGAAGGTTCTTTAGAACTCAAATTGCTGATATAAAAGTCCTAGTTTTTGACTTGTAATTGTTTGCTTGTCTTAGATACACTGTAAAAAAATTCGTGTGAAATCTACAGGAATTTACTGTGTTTGTGCACAGGAAATTACTGTATACTAGTTCACAGTAGAATACCATAGTTTCAGTCAAAATTGCAGTAATCTAAGAAGTACTGTGAGTGTCACAGTAACCAGCAATGTCTTGCAGAAAATCACAGTAACTTCCAATGTATTGTAGAAAACACAATAACTTATTATGCACTGTAGAAAATCTATATTCATTTTTATTTTTATTTTTTTTATTTGGGCTGAACCAATATAAATAAACAGCAATGGAACCTGTTGGTACCGATAGTCTAGTGGTTAGCACACTGACATATTATAGTGCAACTGTGTCTCTGGCGACCCGTGATCGTTTCCTGGCGTAAGGTCCTTTGCCGATCACATTCCCCACCAATCGCTACACTGTCCTGTGTAATAAGCGCAAAAAAAAAAGTTGCACTTGCAAATTAGTTAGTTTTACTTTACAGTTGCATGGTTGCCCATAGTAAGTTACTTGTCACTAGCTGCCAGTTAATTACTGTAGTTCTTTTCTACAGTAAGTTACTTGTCACTTGCTGCCAGTTAATTACTGTAGTTCTTCTCTACAGTAAGTTACTTGTCACTAGCTGCCAGTTAATTACTGTAGTTCTTTTCTACAGTAAGTTACTTGTCACTAGCTGCCAGTTAATTACTGTAGTTCTTTTCTACAGTAAGTTACTTGTCACTTGCTGCCAGTTAATTACTGTGAATTTCACAGTCAGTTTCTTACAGTGTATAGTTTAAGATGGTCTCATGGTCAAGCTGACTATGCTTGGAGACCAGTTGAGACGTGCGAACCATTTTAGGTTTATAAATACGAATTATAGGCTACACCCTGCACTTTTAAGCCAAATGCTTATTCAAAATTCGAAAGAAGGATACAGCTTTTTACAGTAAGATCTACCTTGAGGGACCTATCAAAATGTGCATACCATAGACTGCAGTTATGTGAGAAGAGTGAATCACGATTATATGAATTGTACTGTACTGATCTTCACACCCACATACGATCCCCCACCCCCTGAAATTCTCCTTCATCGAGTCATTGAAAACAAATGATTGGAAAAGACTTGAGCGTGAAAAAATGCGCTGTCCGGGTCGGGATCATGAGGCAGATAGCAATCCAGATGTTGATACTGGGATCCAAATCTCCAAATTTGCAGATGGAAACACAATGCCTCATAAAGCAACCCATGTCAGCGTGGACCACCAGCTGCTCCTAATGTTGACGTCAGGGCTTTCCGACAAACAAACCACATATTTGTGTAGAGTTGACAGAAAAAAAAAAACTCTAGAAGAATCTCTGGTCTTTGGCTGTATCAGCTAAAAATGATTCCCATTTAAAGACTATTGAATGGAATATGTAGATTATATACTACAGTAAATATGGGTAATCAATGCAGGTTATTATTATACTGAAAATATTTTTTTTACCATGCATTGTCTAATGTAGTGTATTGCATGTGAAAAAGCTTGAGATATTACTGTCCACAATAACTGTAGAGCCTGTAGAGTAAAAGCCGTTCCTTTCCAGCAGTTCTGAGCTGATCCTAGATGTCATGCTTTTACACTTAACATTCTGCTACACAGTTGGCGAATAGCGAGCTGTTGGTTTTCTCTCTTTAGCACTACATGCTGACCTTGATGTCAGTGGCTGCTCAGATTTTCAAGCATCCCAGCGTTAAGAACTCCATCAACATAGTGCTTGTGAAGATGCTGATCGTGGAGGACAAAGAGGTTGGGCCGTCCATCTCCAGCAATGGAGGCGTCACTTTGCGCAACTTTTGTGCCTGGCAACAGCTCTTCAACCCACCCAGTCACAGGCATCCGGAGCACTTCGATACAGCCATACTTTTTACTAGAGAGGTAAGCAGTGATTTATTATGTATTTCAGAGTCAGGTGACATCTATTTATGGGATCATGATGAAGTGAGAGTCTTGCCATTAGCTGAATTAAAACAGTCGTCCCTTGTAAAAAAAAAAAAAATACTGGTTAAAATGTACTGCCAAATGTAATGACAAGCATTTATGGTAAATTAAACATTTTAATGTAATTTCTATTGAAACATCTATGTCTTGTATCTAAATATATTTGTAATTACACATTTGCAATGATGTAGTTGCAATTTAGTGTGTTTAAAATGTATTAACCTTAAATGTAATATCAAATAACACTACAGTTAAAATAATATAATCAGTTACTTTCAATGTGTTTTAGTTTGTTGACAAAAATTATTAAAACATAATGATTTATAATTATTACAAATTTATAAAAAATTTGTAATAAAATTATTACAAAGTGCACTTTTTAAGTGTACTTAAGTGTATTAAGAAACAGTGTTGGGAAGGATATTTGGGAAAAGTATAATAGTTATACGTTACCCTATTTAAAATGTAATTACTTTATTAATGTAATGTAACTGATTACATTTGATTATTTTCCTAAATTTCTAATGAATGTTTTTAACTACTAATCATTTTCAAACATTTAAACCAGGCAGGGTTAGCCTTATAGTACTCAACCACTGTATTTCAAAATCCTTCACCACTTGAATTAAGATTATAATAATTTAATTTAATTTGTTAAAGCACTGGAACATCAAAAACATGCAATGCAACACATTAATATTATTCAGCATATCCTAGCATTTTGTAGAAAATATTCAGATGTAACCCTCTTTGTAATTGTTATCATTTTTCTCAGTAACTGTAACAGATTACAGTTACATTTATTTTGTAATTAAATGATGTAATGTCGTTACATGTAACTAGTTTACTCCCCAACACTGTTAAGAAACATGAAAGTCTACTCTCTTTAAGTACTCTTAAGTGGCCTTTTATTTCACTAATGTTATATTATCCGTATTTTAAAGTCACTTACAAAACTTAAAGTACACTGCAAGTGCACCTTCAATAAAATTAAGCACACTTCTTTTTTACAATGAGTTGTTTGGTTGTACCATTAAAAAGTGTGCATGTGGCCAGGTTCAAAACTTGACCTTTTGAAAAGTGATTGCCGCATTGCTCATTACTAGAGCAGACATTATGGCATATTGAAAACGAGGCTGAAAATAGGACCAGACTGACTACAGACAGCAGCTTCTCTGAAAGGTGAACACATGTGACACTGACTCTTGGACTGTGCCAAGGCCAGATGTGCCTTGAATAATGTGTGTTTTGTGGTCTTTTGCTTTGGAAACATTTGTCTCCGTCTCGGATCTCTGGGCAAAGGATGGAAAAGACTCCAGGCATGTTTTTGAGATATAGTTCAGACGCCACATATTTACATTTTCTCACTTCATAGGTCTGCCGCCTGCCAAAACTATTTATTTGCTTGGTTTTATGATGGAAACACTGGCAAATATGTTTTTGCTCTTACTATTAACCACAGACCTGGAACAGCAATAAGAATTAATTTTTTTTGTATCCTAAACTGCCTTTCAGGACATCTGTGGACATCAGAGCTGTGACACGCTGGGTGTAGCTGATGTTGGAACCATGTGTGACACCAAAAGGAGCTGTTCTGTTATTGAAGACAACGGTCTTCAGGCTGCTTACACGACTGCACACGAACTAGGTCTGGATGTTCTCTGATAATCTCACCCTAAGCAATTTTCAAGTTGATTTGACCATCGGTATTATGATTTTGTTCCTGTTTTAGGCCATGTTTTGAGTATGCCTCATGATGACACTAAGAACTGTGAGCAGCTTTTTGGACATCTAGGCGAGCACCATATCATGGCCCCTGTATTCACTCAGCTCAGTAAGACCTTGCCTTGGTCTCCCTGCAGTGCTTTGCACATCACAGAGTTTTTCGACAATGGACATGGTATGCACACCCTTCATCTTTATTTATCACTTCATAGGCATCATGGTGCATTTTACATGAATTGTTTGCAATTTAATTTTTAGCTGGGTCAATATTGTGATGTTTAGTCTCCCTGCAGTGCTTTGCACATCACAGAGTTTTTCGACAATGGTCATGGTATGCACACCCTTCATCTTTATTTATCACTTCATAGGCATCATGGTGCATTTTACATGAATTGTTTGCAATTTAATTTTTAGCTGGGTCAATATTGTGATGTTTATATATATATATATAAAGCATTTCATATGACTTGAATTCATGTCTTCTATTATAAACATGTTAAACTGGATACTTTTTAAAGTCAAAAATATCAAAAGTAAGTGAAACAATTGTCCTGATAACATCATCAAAAAAGCCTAACTAAAAGAATTAGTCTTGAAAATAAATAAGCAGTTTGTCATAATCTTTTATTATTATTTCCTAGAAACAGCAATATTTGTTATTTAATACCAAACTAATACTTAATTAAAAAATTACTATTTAACAAAGCATAAAAATTATAACTTAGAGATGACCCCTGTAGACCCTCATGAGTGTCAATGTCAATCTATTTTATATTATTATTTCAGGTTATAATATGTTATGTGGTACAACTTTCCAAAAACCTATGAATTAAAAATTCATGTTATTTATTAAAAAAAATATGTATTATTTTCTTGAACATTTAATGACTTTAAAATATTTTAAAATACTTTATTTCCTTTTCTTAATGGTTACGTCTCATTAAATCAGGGTTATTTATTTACAAATAAACAAAAAAAATGTTTCTTGAAAAAAAAGAAACTGAAATGCTGAAATAAAATTAATAAAATAATTGTTGAATGTGTTTAATCTTATTTTTTCATCTTATTTGTTGGTGACCCAGCTTCAATAAGTGGAAGAGTTTGCAACAGTACAGGGAACTGATTCCTGTGAATGCTATTAAAAAGTCAGCTTACTTTATGCACTGTCGTGCAGTGTCGGTGTTCCCCTCGTTTGTAGTAAAACACTTTTACATCACCTCTTGCATGCAATTAGTAGATTCTTATTTTTTCCTTTCCTTTCCAATGAGTCAGAAAGAATACATTCCTGTCACTTCACTCCAAGTCATAAAACAGGAATGTAACAAATGTTTTCTTTCCACCGGGCCGTGTCTCTGTAGTATCGGTCTTGCACATTTCCTTTTTTAACCGCTGTATCATTTGAAGTGAGCAGTGGCCCATGTTCCCCACGTGCATTTGTGCTCACTCGTGTTTCTCCTCGCGGCTTACTCCCCCAGATGTGCATTCCTGCGAGTCTCCCTAAATGTCAGCTCCATGAGCCCAATGTTTCTACTGTTACACAATCCTTTGATTTCATGATTTACAACACTCTAACTCTTCCTCTGGATAATTACAGGAGACTGTTTACTGGACACCCCTGATACGATAGTGGCTTTACCCACTGAGCTGCCAGGCATAACTTACAGCCTGGACCGCCAGTGCCAACAGATATTTGGAGAGGAGTTTTCACATTGTCCCAACACCTCAGCCAATGAGGTGTGCGGACAGCTCTGGTGCCAGCAAGAGGGTCAGTCTGTGTGCACAACCAGGAACGGGAGTCTTCCCTGGGCAGACGGCACAAGCTGTGGCCCCAATAGGACCTGCCTGAACAGCATATGCATGTCCTCTGAGGAAGTCATGAGGCCTAAGGTATTTGAAGCTGGATTTTTAGCCTTTCATTTAATCATTTTATAAATACTTATCTAGCTGTACCCTACTAATTGCTACATTTAGGTACTAAAATATAACTTTTAGGTACAAATATGCACCCTTTATGGATAAAAAAGGTACAAAGGTGTACCTTTTGAAAAGGTGCCACCCTAGTGACAGCGTTTGTACCTTTTTGTCTGAGAGTGCATTTGGTTGGGTAATACTAGTGCCACTGAAATCACACACTTCAGGAGTATAGGACATTCATTTGGTTGTGTGGTTGTTCTGGTTTAGCCGGCTGTGGATGGAGGCTGGGGCGAGTGGGGAACATGGCAACCGTGTTCCAGATCATGTGGAGGTGGAGTGATGTTCTCCTACCGAGACTGCAGCCATCCATCTCCTCAAAACGGCGGAAAATACTGTGTGGGCCAGAGAGTGAAGTATCAGTCCTGCAACAAACAGACCTGTGAGAATAACCAAGGTGGATTGTTCTCTCCAGTCTCAGTAAATTTAGTTAGCTATCTGTCTTTTCATATTGTGTTATTATAAAAGGTAACAATTCTTTGTTATTGCAGGAAAAAGTTTCAGAGAGGAACAATGTGAGAAGTACAACAATCCAAATTTTTACTTCCGGAACTTGATTGTTGCTCTCTATCAAATTTTTCCCCATTTCTTTAGCCATGGATATAGAGACATTGTGACGATTCCAAGTGGAGCCACTAACATTAACATCAAACAGCAGAGCCATGGAAGTATACCACATGATGGACATTACCTGGCTGTACGAAGAGAAAATAGTGATTATATCTTGAATGGCAACTTCTCGGTGTCCACAGTGGAGCAGTATATTCCAGTGCTGGGGGCTGTGCTGAAATACAGTGGCTCGTCCACCACACTGGAGAGACTTCAGAGCTTCCGCCAGCTACAGGAACCAATCACAATACAGCTGCTCTCTACCGCTGGGGAATCCATCCCACCGAAGGTCAAATACACCTTCTACATCCCCAAAACCATGTCTTTTAGCAAACCCAAAGACAAAAAGATTGCTGGCAAACTTATTCATCCTTTTGGGTTGCCACAGTGGGTCTCGAGTGAGTGGTCTGAATGCTCCAAAACGTGTGGTTCAGGATGGACCAGGAGAAATGTGGAATGTAAAGACAATGCTGGCTTCTATTCAAATCACTGCAATAAAGATCTCAGACCCTCTGATATAAGGCCCTGCGCAGACCTGCCATGTCCCATATGGCAAATAGGGCCTTGGTCTTCATGCTCACAATCTTGTGGCCATGGGGAACGCCAGCGTAGGATTCTCTGCATTGATTACGCTGGAAAGATTGTGGAACTGGAGAACTGTGATCCTGCCAAGATGCCTGAATCAGTATCTGAAAAGTGTTTCTACCAAGAGTGTTGAGGACATCCTGCAGGCTTTCAAATTATTCAGAGGTGATAAGACACTCCTGTGAAAGAATATGAAGATTTTCATTTGACCGTGCTTCAGGTTGGAGCAGGAAATATTCATGCTTTAGATGGAAAATTTGTTGAGCTTTCATGAATGTTGCACAGACTGATCACTTGGCCTTTGGTTTTCCAGATATATACATGTATATTTATAACCACTATTGAAGTTTGATCCAATAGATATCTACCTCAGCAAGCAATGCTTTATTGCAGTTTCCCTAACTTCTGTCTCCTAATTGCTTTCTTAGAGCATTCCACATAAATTATTTTCAAGTATGTCATATTTAATGATTCTTAACCATACAAAACACAGCAATTGGCTAAGACTTAACATTCATCTCAGGCTGACATTATTTTAAATCATTTCCCACTTTTTTGTTTTTGTACATTCAGATGTACTAAAAATTCAGTTTTTAAATAAATTTGGAATTACAAAATGGAATTATTTTAACTTGGAATGGGAAAATCTTACAAGGAACTGTCACTTGCTAAGCCGCTATAAAGGTGCTATCATTCTTTTTTATTGATTTACTTTGTGATTGGGTCAGTAATTTAGATCATTTTTATTTATAAACCTTGGCTTGCATTTATTAGTGGCTTATTTTCACTTTCAGATTTAAAGAGTATCAAAAACACTTGATAGAGCATGATCATATAAATCTATTAGAGCTATTTTCATATATATTTAAAACTGTATCAGAGGTAAACAGTGGTTGAGCCTAATTTATATTCTGAAACTTTAATACTTACAGGTAAGTGTTAGATCTAGCTTTTGAAAATTCCTCAACAAACATAATGTTTGTGTCCATTCAGAGGGTTGTATAACTTACTATTTACTATCGCTGTTCTTTGTATTAAACACTGCTTTATTTGTGAACGGCTATGTGAATGAAAACCTGGATGTTTGGAAACATCAGTCCTTCCAGGGTTTTCATACTCCATGAGTGGATATATCTGAACGCTTGAAAGAACTGTGTAGATGTGAATGATATTAAGAAAAAAAACTGTACAGCATGAAACTAAACTGAGAAATAGTTAGTGCTCCATAAAAATGATTGTATATGAATATTAATATGGTATTGACCATTCCAGTTGTATACATTAGTCATATTTGTCATATTAAAAATGCGACAACATATATTATCCCTTCAGTGAAGGATTGTACTTTGTTACTTCTTCATTGTAAAGCTATTTATTTTTGTACATTTTATATTGTGTAAAATGGATACAAATTATGCAGTATTTCCAGATGTTGCTTTCTTTTTGTTTTGTAACTTATCAATGACATGTCTGAAAATAAAAATGCCTAAACATTACAAAAACATATTTTTGGATAAATGTATTTAATTAAAGTTAAAGCAAAAAAGTGCAAAACATAAACATATGAATAGCTACAAAAAGTGCCTGGACTAGGACCTGCAAAGCATAATCAGACAGGAAGGCTCTGATTTTCCTGATATCACAGAGCATGAATCTGCATGCTAAGATGTGGTTTGTAAAGTTCAGCTGGATGTCAAATACGATAAGATTCTTGGCTGCCTGTAGTGTTGTTGACCTAAGTAAGTTTGAGCTAGAGGTGGCGTTCCTTCATCTATTCCAAAATGTCAGAAAGATTTTCTGAGATAGGTGCTGAGATCTTGGGCTTGTTGAACAGGAATGACCCTCTATCATCTGCATAACAGGAATAGGAAAAGTCATGAGACTTTATGACAGGACTCAAAGATGTTACAGGTCGAGAAAAGGAGAGGGTTGAACACCGAACCCTGAGGTACACCAGTGGTTAACTGAAGCAATTTAGACACCTCTTCACTCCACAAAGCCTTGAAGGATAGGTCTCACAGGAAGATCTTTAATACAACTGTTTGTTGTAACATGGACATGCAGCCCTCCAGCATTCAACAGGCTACTAGGTCTCAACTGTATTATTTAAAAGAAAATTTAAAATCATGACAGCTAAAAATGCTTCTAAAACCAATCACTGCCAAAGAAACCTCTGATGGTCTAGTAAAACTAACACTGTGGCCCTAATGTGCGGCTTGGAGTTGCAAGAAACAAATTTTGGCATGGCATTCAAATAGTAACAACAACTCCAATCTTTGGCTCTCCCTTAATCAGAATGAATTTTATTGGGCCAGCATAGCCTCAGAGATTTTCCCCTAATTTCGAAGAGGTGCTCTTTCCTAAAAGAGGCCCCCGTTGAGAGAATGTTTGTTTGATGGAAAATCCTATTCCACATGTCTGAGAGGCAGCTGCTCTCTATCTCTTTGAAAGGGGTTTGCATGAGTTTGGCTCTGAAAGAGATGCATCTGCTACAATTGTTACACAACTTAGCACTATATGTTCTGTCTAGCTTTTCCTTCCCGCTGATAAAATGAACAGAACTGCACTTTTAAAATGAAGCATGAACTCTAATAGTTTCACATATTTTTAACTAACCACATTTGAGGCCTCCGATTGTAATTATTCATAGAAGTATACTTTGTTATGGGCTGGTGAACTGAACACATATACCAACATAATAGTCTAAACAATTCTACAAAATGTGTTTTGTGAGCTGTTTATTGCTTACCTACTTCTCAAGACATTATGTTCTCATAAACTGCCACATAAGAACAGGCTGCACATTATTATGTTGTGCAAATCTACCTTAAGTATGTGGAACAGAACTTTCAACCACTACTCCACCCAAAAACACAAAGCAAAAATGTTTCTACTAAATTACAGCAACACACATGTTGTTCTAATATGTGCTTGTGGTTTACAGGTAACTATTTAGCCAGCACCTTTTATCCAAATTGAATTATATTGAACAGATTACATGCCTGACTTAGAATAGCTCGCATAGTTGAGAAAATTAACCAGTCAATGTTTTCTGAAACTAGGCCAGAACAAATCTCTGCTTGTGTCTCTGCTGAGCCAGTGGAAATGACCATCAATAAAAGGAGTTTCTTTTATTTTCATCTGCTGTTATACAATCCTCATTCATTCATGGTTATGCTAGGGGTGCACATCTTTATAAAATGTTTCTTTTTAATTACAGCTGTCACAAGCTATTCTAACATGCTTATATGATTACTGGGTACATCTTGTTTAGCAATTTTTATCAAAAATGAATTACAATGCACTGATTATGTGTCTTGCCCAAGGGCTCAGTGGTGACAGATTTGTGTTGTGAACTCAGAAAAACTCCTATTCTCACTTCAACTCGCAAGCTAATTGCTATCTTCATGCAGACCCTTGAGCATAAAGACTACAAACACACCCTTATTTGTTTCTAAATGAGGCGACACAGTGAGCTAATGCAAAACACATGAAAAAATATATTAAAATGTGGCCATTTTTTCAAGTGCTCGGCAAACAGCATGAAATATCTGGAACAGATTTGTGCATTATTTACTCTCTCTCTCTCTCTATATATATATATTACATTTTTATTGTATTTGCGTATTATTTAAATGCTGCTTTTCAAAAATATATTTCATTTTCGAATGGCTGTCAGTGAAGGAAGATGCTTTCTGTGGCCAAATCAACCAGCAAGGGCTAATGGTCCCTGAGACAGATCTGAGCTGAATGAATGAAGAAAATAAACATCTTTATAAAATTGCACAGAAGTGCACACTAAATAATAATATATATATTTTTAAATAAAGCATTTTATTCTATCCTCTGAAAATTAAAGTTAATTGTGGAAAGACTGCATCATCTTCAGTTCACAAGGGAAGCAGTGAGGATGGCTTACCATCAGTTCAGCACAGCCGATGCTGGCAGGCAGACTGATTCTGATGAAAGGTAAGATAGGGCATTGAGATTCCCATTTTAACTCTGGTTAATCCTATAGGAACAGGGAGAATGGAAAAATCAATTGTATCAGAGCACCTCTCCACATGCCCCAGGCCCCCAGCAAGATTCTGTCACAAGTTTAAAATGTCAAAGGAGTGAGCTAATGCATATTCCTGGTTATAAAATGTACAATACTATCACTTATCTCTAATCTGTGACCCAAGGGTAGGAAAAATTACAGAAAAAATTGCTGTCATAGAACAAATGCACATGCTCTTAATATGCATTTAACAGATTATAAAGCAACATTTGTATATATTCTGTTTATACATGTGCAAATGACATGACTCTTTAAAGATATTCTGGCCCCACTAAAGTTAACCATACTGTCTCTGTAGCCAGATTAGCCTTTTGGTGGAAAAATAGTTTGCGTTAGGGATGCACCGATATGAAAATTTTGGCCGATACCGATAACCGATTATTCTTTATTTTTGAAAGCCGATAACCGATATGTTGGCCGATAAATCTATATCCAAATTGTTATATACTTTTTGAGAGCCTGATTACAAAAAAGGTCTCATCATTAAAAGCCACATCCCAAACACTTCAACATAAGCAGCCTAGTTTGAACGGTGTACGTTTAAAAAATAATTTTACTCTCCCATTACCAAATTTAGTCATAAAAAAGTCTTACAAATAAATAAAATTATGCATAAATAATGCAAACAAGTCACTGGACATCATTACACGTGTAAAGAATCAAAATGAATGCGCCATAGATCAATAAAACGGAATAGCCTCTGCACGGACAATAATTAAATGATTTTAATTACTAAACCATATTGTTGATGAAAATAATAAGAGAAAAATACAAGTGGTTGTTGTTATTAATAATATATCAATGATTTTGAAAAAGTAACAAATTAATACCACTGTTTTAAATAGCAGCCGTTGAGCTGCGCGTGCTGAAGCTGAAGAGCTGAATGAACACGGTAAACGGAAGCGTTTTGCTGGCAGCTTATTTAACTCAAGGAAATGCATCCTGAGATTAATATTAATACAACATAAACATAATATTACAACTTATATATGTACAAAATGACGCAGTTATTGCATGCTATAGTCAGAATGTGTGATCCTGTTGTGGATGCGCTCTTCCCATAACAACGCGCTGAAACACGGCAACTAAACCCAAAGAATTCACAACGTTTTATTATAATAATGTTCTCATTAGAATGTTATATACACGACATTCCCAATCATAGTTATTAATGTTGTGCACTGCTGTTTGAGCTGCGTGTGCTGAGCTAAAGATGATCACCGGTAAACTGAAGCGCTCTTTTAACTTAACCAAACGCATTCTATATGAGATAAATCAGATATACATCAAATAAACACAATATTACAATGTACAATTGCACAAAAGGCTGCAAACGAACAGCGCGCATCTGAAGTGTCTCTGAAGGAAATAATGCATTATTTATCGGCTTTAAGATATCGGCCAAATTTTCTTATCAGGCCGATACCGATAACAGAAAAAATGAGCCGATATGGGCCGATACCGATATGGTGGCCGATATATCGTGCATCCCTAGTTTGCGTAATTACTTCTGCAAACCTTGTAGCAATAACTTTAACAGCTCAATCAAATGAATTAATTCTCAAGCTGTTGTTACCTGTAAGTGTGGCTTTCTCATTAACAAACAGCCTTTAATGATTTACAACACCACCCATGTGTCTTAAAGAGACAGTGTCAAATTTGCATTGTAACTCTGAAGAATTCACATAATCATAAGGCATACGCACGCACGCATGCACCCACCCACACACACACACACACACACACATACACACACACACAAACACACACATTTCAGATATTTGTTTTTACCTAATTATTAATTTTTTTTTATTAACTCTGAACCTGTATAAACCCTTGCAGATGTTGTGCTATTCTAAATCTTACAGAAGGTTTAGACTAGATTTATTTCCAAACATTTCAAGAATAAGACTTAGCTCTACAAAAATCCTATTAAATAATTATTTTTGCCAGACTTCTGGAAAATCCTGATGATGATTTTGGCTTAACTCTGTCTTTTATGATTTCACAATAAAAATGGTTTATAAGCTTAGCTCTTGCCTGTGTTGAAAAAGTCATTAATTTTTTTTATCCCATTAATGAGAATTATTCTTTTTAAAGCCCTTATTTGAATTATACTCTTTCATACATAACGCCACATGTGTTTTTAAGGCAATATTCAATATACTGTACTTGCATGTGACCATCATTCCAGTCAAGATGCTTTTAAACTTTATATTTTATGCTGAAATGTAGATTTATTTTATTTAGAAAATGTATTTGGACTTACATTATATACAGTAAACTAAAGTGATTAGCATGGCTATTTTCATTAGCTAGAATGAACTGTGATTTTCTTTGCTGCCAGAATTTGA